TCCGGACTTTTTTACCCACTTTCCATGAACGTCGATGCATAAACACGCTATCATTCCCACTTACATCCAAGCATCTAGCCTTCTTTCCACAAGTGAGCACGTCACCCTTGACCTTATCCAGCCTATACAGATGCTTAGTGCATGCTTCCTCATTCTCCCCTCGAGACTGGTGAACCTCCAGACACTCCATCATAGAGTGGCACTCAATATCTGCATACCACAACTACTCCAACATAACCAGGATCATGACAACACCCACCTTGGTCACAATTCCCCAGCTCATAGTTGCAAGTATTTTGCAGACAATCAGTGTCGATGCTCTCGAAACTGATCATCGCTGGCCTCATCTCCGCCGATTCAATTTCAACCATAGACTTTCCCTACCAACAACACATCCGAGACTTTATTTCGTACCGCCTCACCTGAGCAACTTCCTGAATGACCTTCTTCTCCCCAGGGATGACTCCCCCAGCGGCTTGCTCCGCCGGATCAGCTCTAAACCAGTTCGTCACAGGGTGAAAATGGGCGAGCGCTTTTCTTACGTTTTCGTTCGTTGGCAACCGAAATCGGTCGCGCATTTCATAAGACTTCCCTCAAGCCTAGACTCATCAAGAGGAGTGATCCCATCAGTGCAATGATCAGCGCCTTGCATTCGTCGAGCCGACCGGGCGAACGCCAGCGCCTTGGTTGCCAGCGGGGACAGCTTTCCCTGCATGGACGAGGTCTCTGGTTCGATCCCCGACAGCTGCTTTTTTCTCACCGAGCTGTCTTGATCCTCCGTTTTCTCCTTCGTCTCCTCTTGCTGCTCTTCATGCCACAAACAAGTGAGAATAATCCCACACTGTGACTCATGAATCTCCTTCTTATCTCTGCATTCACCATCACCATCCTCCTAACCATTATCAGCCTACCTGTTATACGCAGGGTCAATACTCTCATCGGTTTCATCTAAGCAGTCGTTCAGCTGAGCCCCACAGTGGCTCTCCATGCATTGCACGTTAAAGTAGCGTCCTTGGCCGTAAGCGACCTCCGACACCTACACAAGGGGAAGTGACAACTCCCTGAAGTCCTTTATGGAGTTTACCGCGGCGATCGGCCAAGCCATCATCCTACTTTCACTAGAAGCCTGAGAGGACCACTACAAGCAGTGGAAGCTTCCCCCGACTTACCCCTGAGGTCTCCTCGAGAAAAGAAGTGCCATTCATAGGGGGCTGCTGGGCAGAAGCCTGAAAATTGAAACTATCGTCTCGTCGCAGAGTAAACTTCTCCCACCTGTATGGTGCCACGGAACTGATTATTACTGGTACTGTTACGTATAGCCTAACACGAGAGAGAGCCAGTTGACTCCGCGAAGTGAAGGAGTTGCGGTATGTATTGGCTCTTACCTCAGCGTTGATCGTAAGAAGCGCTAGGGTCGTGGAGATGCCGATTATCATTAAGTTAAGAATGTGAGATAGTAATAGCTGCCACATAGAGTGTTAGTAAGAGTCCATCGTACTCAGTATTGGCCCACAAGATGCATCACGTTAACTCTAATAGTCGCCATGTGCGAAAACGTCGCACGACAAGACCATCACGCGACCGAAGGCGATCATGCGCTGACAAAAGCGCGCGCCCAAACAATCGATTTCCGCACGATTTCCGTTGATGTGAGGAAATCCCCGAAGCTTGTCCCCGGCATACTCCTCAGCATCATCATCTTTCGGTGAGATAACTCCGGCGCCTCCACTCGATGAGAGAGAACAGTTGAACGTCGCGCAGCTACTCACTGACGGCTCGTATGAGAAGAGTTGAATCCCACAGGTTTGTCGGCGATCCTCCCCTCCTTTTGAACTCTGCTGGTGATTTGCCCATTGAGATAACTTTACACTTGATGTAATTGCCTTACGAAGCCTCTTTATACTTAGCCGACGAAAACTATCTTCATCATAAGCTTAACTAAGGAAATCCTTGAGCCTAGAGAGACATATTGTCTGCTACGCGCGATTGGGACAGCGACAACGATGCAGCAGCATCTTACAGTTCCCTTCGTAGATGCTTGTCGCATGTGGTGAATATTTTACGGAGGGCTCCCGATCAGAGTATTTTATAAGGATTGAAAAAACTTCTTTTAAAGACACAAAACTAATTGAAAGTTTCCGTGAGCTCCGTGCGGAATC